GCATTCAGAGAAGCCAGAGAATCTTCTTCCATGGGAAAGCAACAGTTCCCAAAGCTCGAGAGAGTTCCTGGCACAGCTATTGAAGGTGGTATCAGCAGCAGTGCAAGCCCAGGAATTACTGGGAGGAGGAAATTGGGATCTGGAGAAAAATCTGAGAACATCTGCTCTCGTTTGCATCGGTATTACCATCCATGTATTATATAAAATACAAAAATAAGAGAAACTGAAAGGAAATTAGTACAGCCCAGGATTCTGGTGATATCAAATCACAAATGCAATTTATGATACCAAATCCTTTTGACGTATTCATCCCCTTGTGATTCAGTTTCCTATATATTATTCTATGTATAAGATATAGTTTTCCAAAGATACATATATATTCCTTTACAGGTTAAATAAAAGCAAGTCCCACTGAATAAGAAAATAAGAGGAAGTAATGTCCTAATTCTCTACCCATATCTTTTTTTTTTCTTTTTCAGGTAAAAATAGCATGAAATACATTCAGTAGCAAAGCAGTTGGAATCCAGGGGAAATGGAGAGCCCTGTATTCCTGGAGGATTAACCTGTATGTGTTAAGTCACGATCCTGAAATAAATTATGTAGACTTCTGACTTGGGAAAGATAGGACCTTGATCAATGCTGACTATTATTTACCCAGCTGCAAATTCTTTGAATTTCCCAAAACCCATCTGTGGATGGGTTTAAAACTGTAGCCCAGTTTTAAAGGCTGCTGTGATGTATACCTTGACCTAACTTGAAAGGTCCAAACTTGAGTGCTTCCTTGTGTCTCCCTTTAGTTTTATTACTTGGAAGGAGGTAATGGGACAGCTCCCAGTAGGATATTAGCATAATTGATGGAAAAATAATTTACTTCGAGCCTTTGCGTTTGCAAGAACAACGTGATGCCTGGTGCTGTGTACGCCCACCGCCCCGGGTGTACGCAGCATTACATGTCTAGTGCAGCCAGCTGTTGGCACAACAGCCCATTCGGCAGGGCTCAGCTGTGACAGAGGAGTGCTTGTCAGCCACAACAGTCCCTCAGTCTCGAGAGAAAAATCTCTGCCCTGATCTTCACATTCAGAAAGTAATATGTACTAAGGTTTTCTCTTCAGCAGGTGGAAGAAAACCAGCGTTGTAAGAGAAGAGTGTTTCTGTTTTCAATGCCAAAGGTATTTAGGCTTATTAGATGACGCAGAAGTATGCCAATTATCCCTGAGTCTAACAGTAAATCAAAATAGGAGGTATAGTTCTCGCACACATACAAGTAGTTTCATGGATTTCACTGCAACTACTTAATAGAAGGAAGGGAACAGCCCTACCTTTATCCTGTGGAGAAAGCATGGCTTCCAAGTTTTGATACTTCAGTGCCAGAAAATTCAGATTTTTATTTACTCCTAAATTGCCACATTCGGTCAGTGAGTGACATCACGACTCTGAAGTCAATGGGATACTCCATGCTTTGTCAAGGGGCTGAATTCTTGCTGTTCTTGACTTCCTATCTCCCTCTCCCCTTGTAAATGACTGTTTTTATTTTGAGTTGTTTTTAACACAATGAAAGCATCTATCTTAAAAGAAATTTCAAGGGTCAACCAAGAGAAGTCCTTTAAAATGTCTAACAAGGAAAAAAAATTGCTTACCTACATAAGCAATTTAACTTAGCTGTAGCAATGTAACTTAGCTGTAGGAAGTTATATGCTAATTAATGGGCAGGACAAGGATGTGTTTGTCAGCTGCAGTACTGATTACATGGCTGACTATCTTTCCTGAGACTGGTTTTACTAAACATTAAAGCATATGGACCTCAGGGATTTTGCAGTATCTTGGATTAACACCACGCATGATACTTTCTATTTTATTGTTTTTAATTCTCTCTGGGTACATTTAAAATTTGTTAACCTAAGTGAAATAAGTCCTATTACTTTCGAATATTGATTCACAAAGATAATACAAGACTAGTTCACAGATGTACCATGTAACTAAATCAGCCTTGCTTCATTTATCCTGTAAAGTGTTACAGTCAAAGTAAAAACAACTTCTTTTTAAAGTGAAAAAAAGTACTTTTCTTCTCCATATTGGGCATCTCAGGAACAGGTTATAATCCAACAAGATAAAACAGTTGTACTAAAAATATTCTTTGGAGGTTTCTCCCTAATCAAAGTAAAGGCTTTATTTCAGAACCGTGCATTCTCAATAAAATTAAAAAATAAGATTTAGTTCCACATATATATTTATAAAATTCAAATGACTTTTAATGTAAGTTTTATGTGGACACACAGTTTAATACTGACTCAGGAAAAAAATATTAATCACTCCAGACTTAGGAGCTATGTTAGCTGTCCCAGTGCCGCATGAAAATAACAGTTTCAGTGAGACTTTGATGATGTTTAAGCTAAACAACGAGCCAGCTCTCCCCGACAGATCAGTCGGTCTGGAATACATGTGCGCGTAGCTCTGTCACACGCTGCTGAAAGGGCTAATTAAAACCCAGATTTGTTTTCTCACAGGAAGCCTTGTGTACCAATAGCAGGTACAGTCAGCAGGTAGGATTTTAGCTTGCCTGGTTTAATCCCACAGTCTTGCTCCTTTCCTTGTTTCTGAATATAACTATGCTTAATCATCAAGATAACGCCATAGAGCTATTTTCTTATTCTTTCAGTAATTTTGAGAAGACACAGTTTCCATGTAAATATTACTCTTCCAAATGCCACTGCTACAAACACTACTTTGGATCTACAGATGGAAGGTGAAAATTTTGTACTGCCTTTATGTCATTGCCAAGAACGATAAAGCAGCCATTGCCTTCTGAAATCTTTTTTTGCTGATATAAGTCAGCTTCCATCCTACAAGGTTTTGAAATCATCATCACGGCTAGCAGGTAGCAAACATGTTTTTGTCACAGAAACTCAACTTCCAAAGTCAGAGAGCTGCTACACTGAGAAAGATGATGTTGTGTCAAAGCCAGTTCCAAGAAAGACGGTGAGCTTATTTAACAGTTCTTTTTTGATGAACTGGGGAAGTCCCACTCCCATGATCTGCTTGCACTCATTGGACCCTTTGACATGATTTAACTCATTAACTTGGCCAAAGACTAACCGTGGGGGGAAAAATCCACCCACATCTTTTTTTATTTTTAATCATCTCCAGTAAGTGCCGTAACAAGGACAGGGCCATGACAGGGAGTACAACGGGGAGCTGGAGGGGTGAGATCTTTGAGCAGCAGTGAGCTGTTATGTTAACTCAGCTGCTCAGGGAATCACAGTCTTAACCATTTTTTTTTTTTTAGTTATTACTGCATTTTTCCAATCAAGGTTTTAAATCCACTTGTAGGTATGATTTAAGATAAATGAGACATTCGGACACTTGTCAAACCATCAGTGTCACTCATCGGCACAGTGCTCTCAAGTGTAACAATCAAATGTATTCTTAAATGTCAGTTCAAATGTATTATGCAGTTCATTTTAAGTGTGAAGCGGTACTGGTAAGTGAATGACTAATGCTAGGTTTAGACAGTCAAGAGAATGGAAACATTTATGCAAATACTATTAGCAAGAAAGTGATCAGGGAAAAAGATCTTTGTTAATATTTGCAAAAGAAATTCCTTCTGCTTTTTTCCCCTTTTTTCTCACTGTATTAATATTTCCAGATAATCACTGTTCTTGCAGGTACATTTTAAAATATTAACATTTTTTAACTCCTTACTCTTAGAGGAGAGAATTTCGTTGCAGTATAGTTGTGTCAGGATAGCAATTACATTTTGATCTCTACTTCAAGCAGCTGACTGCCTTTCAGAATCATTCCTTTGGCACAGGTAACATTAAATTTGTACTACCCTGTTTAAAATAATTCACAATTATGCTTGACAACAAAGCACAAGATGGGTATCATTAAATTTTATTGTACAAAACTGACAAGATATGGCATTCCTTAGAATTAAAAAAAAAAAAAAAGATCAAAACACAACTTATGTCCCTGGAACAATTTTTTAAATGGAACAATTTTTTAAATGGAACAATTAATACACAACCTTTAGTCCAGCAATGATATTTACCTGCAAGACCATCTTCAGACATGACAGGTATAATTAAAAAAATATTCCATCAGTTCGAGCAATAGTTTAATTTTCCATGAAATAAGTATTTCTACAAATGCTTTATGTTCAGTCAAAACAAATGCTTTTGAATTTTCTTACCTTAAGAGGTATAAAACAACCAGACAGGTTTGGGAATCATCAGAGAAGCCTACCCCACGGGAAAGTGTAGGTTTTGTATTCCACTTGAAAATGGTTTTTTTTTTTAATAAAAATAAGTAATACCAACATAGCATTTCCTAACCAAATACTTCTAGCAAACAGATCTTGCTTCTGTGATGTTTTATTCAGCAGTGCAGCACAAGCCTTTTGGGTTTTTTATTTGATACCTCATTTCTGTGTCAAATTCAGAATTTGGATATAGACCCAGGGAAAGGTTTTCATTAATTTTTTTTCATAAAACCTACCTTTACTGCACAGGATTCACAAAAGATCAAAACTATGCAAGGTCTTCACTCTGCTTCTCAGCAAAAACATCAAATAAATGTTGAACAGTTTTCCCTTTATCCCAGTAGAAGGAATTCTTTCTTGAATTCTTAGTATAAACATGAAATAAAAAAGGGAACTAGATAACTTTATGTTAAATTCCAGTTCAGCTGTAAATAGCCTTTAAGCAACAGTGCTACAAAGAACTGCACTACTTGCATTTCTGAAGAAAAAACAATTAAAACTAAGAAATTATCAGGGAAGCTCATCAGCGATTGTGCCAAGAGAGCATAAGACTATCTTTGCTATGGCCTAAGCTTTACAAAAAGTGCTTCTCTGCAGGACGCAGTCACTGCGATAAACTTCTGAGATGGTCCCAGGGCGTAAGTTATCCTAGACACCCGCACACACACTAGTACTTATTACACTGTGCTTTCTACGAAGAGATTATGCTTCAGTACTTTACATTTTCCATTCTCTCTCTTCCTCCAGAAGAACCTTCTATGCAAGATAAAAATAATTTTGAATAGTCATGTATTAAAGACCTAGTTTTGAAGTATTTATTTAACATCTAGTCATATAAAATAAAGTGTAAAAGTATGAAGGTATCAGAACTTGGCTTTCAGCAAGGCAGTTTGGGAAGTAAGAATTCAACATAAAACAGGAATTATTTTTTTCCCCCTTTGAAAAGGGTCACATCAGAATGAATGAAAAACACCGAAGAATTTCACTTCAAGCCTGCACTCCTGCCTTTTGTCCTTTCCCCAAGAGGAGAGACCACTGGAAGAATCCTCCAGGGTTTCAGTTGTGTTGTTCTTTGTGCTCTTGTATCGGGTCTGGCTGCAACTATGTACTGCCCTCTTTGGGCGGCAGGGGCGGCTGAGGCTGCTGCGGTGGCTGCGTGCCTGTGGCCGTTTTGATAGAGTTCAGGGTTTTGCTAAACCAAGAGTTTTTGGCAGCTTGGATTTCATTCATAAGGGCTCCTCTCTGGTGCTCCAGCTCCTAAGAAAGCAGAATAGTCAGAACGGATCAAGAACCAATTAATTAAAAAAGCATCCTCAAACTCAGTCCCTGCAATCCAGCACTTTCCTTGCAACCTCCCAGGCACTGGGGAGAGAAGACAGATTGAAATTGTGGAAACAGAAGATACTTAAATATACAAATGAAAACCTCTTTTCTTTTTTTCTTTTCTTTCTTTTTTTTTAGAGACAGAAAGTTGTTCTGGAAGTTCACAGGTACACGGTGGTACAGGTATATGCTCCTTTTTGGAACAATGTTTTGCATAATTGAGAATTATTTTGGACTGAGCACAAGGAGGTTAAGCAGAGTGCCCTTCTGCACTTGGATTCCACGTACCTGAATTTTGCACTTGGCTTCCACAAGCTGCAGTTTGGTCTGTGCAAGTTCCAGCTCCATCTCTCTCAGCTGCTTCTTCAGTGCATCCTTCTCATCGTCTGTTTCTATGCCTTTATTCTCCGTGCTTACAGCAGGCAGCTTCAGTGCCCCCTCCTTACTGAAAATCTCACTGCAGTGTTTGCAGGCCATCACTTTACCCTGAAATACCCAGAAAGCTCATTTTTAATCCATGTTACAGGAGTAGCTGTGCTTCCTTGAGGAGCCATTTTTATGTTAGACTGCCTTTCTGTCAGGAATACTCGAACTAGTACTGCAGTTCTCATATCTGACATGAAAAGAATTTGAGAAGTTCATGAACAATTTCCAGGGTATATTCACCAGTATAAACATTCCTAAATGTACTTAGCATGCTCTGTCTAAGCACAGAGACTTTTCTCCTAGATTAGAATTGCTCAAGCCTTCTTGCTACCAAAGCTTTGTAATATTTTGCAGTATTTATGCCAGCACAATTCAGAAGAGTAAATTACACTCTAGGGACTTTTTGTCTTCCATAAAAGCACTTGACCAAATTAATACAGATTTTGGTATTTTAAAGAATGCCGGTAGCTTTTCCATATTTCCAGAAGAAAGCGAGCAGCCTCTGCTCACTGCAAGGGCCAATGCTGTCCTGTTTAGCATCGTAGGGGATGGCCCTTTTTGCCAGCGACGCCTCACACACAACAGTAAGGTTCTCGTGCTGGAGGGGTGAACCAGTTACTCATGGCTGAAGATGTAGCACAGCTGGCCTGGCTTGCACAAACTATAACGGGATATTGAGCTACTTCAGCAGATTATAGGAACATCAATCCTAGAATTATTTTTTTAATCAGTAACAGAAAAAAGTCACTAAAAAGCAACAAATCAGGTTCAGCTTGAGTACTAAAGAAACAACTAGAAGCTATAGCAGAGGGAAAACAATTCTGCCTACTCAGCAGTGACAAAGCAGAGGGATGGAATTATTACCTGATGAGGAAACGTTTACCTCTAGCGCAGATGTTCCTGGTAAGGGCGTTTAGAGAAGGGAGAGGAACTGCTATGGAAATTCTGGGGATGGCCCAAGCTGTGCCAGTTACTTAAACCAACTCTGCTTAAATTACAGAAACCCAAATATAAACAGTCCAGTTCAGCCAATTCTGACCCCTCCACTGTGCACACTGGAGAAGCAACAAGTTTTCTCTTCTAGAGAGCCTTTTTTTCCCCCCGTTGAATTAAAACATCCAAATAAATACTGTCTGTGTACATTTTTTGCCAAAAGTATACATTTCAACAGGAAAAAGAAAAGCCAAGTACTATATGCAGTTCCGTTTGAGAGTTCCACCCTGTTTGATATAAAATAAAGAACCGTGAAAGGAAATAAACTCTTCCATTGTTTACATCTAATGAAAAATGCATGTGGGGCTATCAATGAGTGGGTGGACACCGCTGTTGTTACGTTAAACTTCAGTTTACATTTTGTTCTGTATCCCTGGCATTTAGCAGCATTTGCGTTAGAAACATCCCATACGTAGAGGCATCATTCTCACCTTCACAACCTCCAGTTCATCTTTACTGGCCGCTTGTTGTTTTTCCAGCCTGGTACTCAGCTGGGAACAAATCTGGAGTAGAGAAAGCAGTCTCTTAGCTAAAGTTTACTATACTAAAATATAACCTGTGCTTTTTAACAATGATTTTTGTTAGAGCCAACATTGCTTAAATTCTGCCTCGCTCAGGTATATGCATTCCCCCTTAACAAATCCACTGCTGCTGATAATGAGACTGAAAAAAATGGCAGTATTCAATACAGAACCTGAACACGGAGACCGGAACATTTTATGGATTAACTGGTTTATAATGTTTATACTGCATTATGTCAGAGTAAAGAAGCATTCACCTTACAGTACTAAAATTAGCTGAAAGACAGGTTATTCTTGATTCCCTTAATTAGGAGGCTATTAGGAAAACCACAGAAAGATTTATGACAAATTACAATGCATGCTCTCTGAAAGCCTGAAAGGTAGCGTATGTTATTTAAAGAATGAGATCTGCAACTCTGAAAATTCAGCTCTCAGAACAGGTTGAAAGAAGAAATATGAGAAGGCGTCTCTAGAACAGTACCTGTTTATACTCTGCAATAATGGCTGTGGTTTTCTTGATCTCAGATTCTGCCTTCTCTAGCTGCTTCCTGAAGACTTCCTTCAGCTAGGAATTGAAGGAGAGAAGTTACACAGTACACTGAAAAAAGTTCTCAAAACGCATCATCAGATTGTTCCCTCAAAGTCTTGCTGTGTTTACAACAGTTCTACAGCTGCTTCTTACCAAATTCCAGTTCTTCAGACAAGTGTCTGATTTACTCGGTACACAAATACTTACTATATTCAGTTATAACCAAAAAGTCTATACTGTGATACTGTGTATCCCTGCTTAGAGAATTCTCCTGTAGAACAATTCTCTTTCTCTGCATTAAATGTGGTGCAGCATCGTCCACAAACACAAAACAAGAGCACTACTATTAAGTGGGTTTTACTGATTTTGTTTTTCTGCACACTGTCACTGCAGGTTTGGGCAGACAGATTATTTGTTTGTTTGGAGATGGAACAGGAAGAAGAATCTCCCAGCACTGTCACTCTCATCCCCGTAACAGGAGAAAAAAAAATCTGTTTTGGTCTGTGGCGCTGCGTTGAAATACAGCTAACTCATTCCTCCACCGTTCAGAACCACTAAATTTGGAAAGCCCTTTCAGTACGAAAAAGGCCTCCTCTGCCTTGCTTATAGCAAACAGAGAGCTTGGCAACCTCAGTTTTAGAGAGACACAAAGAATTACCGTTTGATTGTTGTAGTCCCTGTTGTTGAATGGCAAAAATAAAAATCAGGGTATCGCTTTTGAAACATACTTTCGCGTATGTCAGTATTCAGGACATTAGATATGTAGGATTAAAAAACTAAGACTGAACATTTTGCAAACAAGTATGAGGCCAGGTCTAGTCAGCAAAATTCTCCCAACCCTCAAGTCTGTTCTGCTGTTGGTTCTCGCTTCAGACAGGAACGTTCACAGCTTTATTTCAGTGAACCAGCAGCCGAATCCAGAATGGCCTCTTATAGGGCAACAACTCCTCCAGCTCCTTCCTTGTTCAGGTAATTAAAAGAGGTCTGATCATGTCTCCTTAGTTGCGATTGCTCACCACCAGTGAAAATGATTATTACAATACTGGGAAGAGGATAAGGTATGGAAAACTGAACATTCAGAGCTCAAGTAAAGGAAAGCACTGAAAAACATACTTTTTTAAAAAAACATTTACCCTGGCACTGTGTATTTTTCAATTGCGACTGCATTTTGAAGACAAAATCCTTTCCGCAATTGCAACACATTCGTACTTCTCTGCATATCCTTTTGCCTGCATTTCCTTGCTAAATGGGAAAAGTTGGAGAATGCCTTACCTGAGCAGTTTCCTCTTCCTGCTTCCGTTTCTCTTCCTCAGTCTCCACTAGCTTCTGTTTGGTCAGGAGAAGTTCCTTGTTCAAAACATCCGCTTTGTCTTCAGCCTAGAATTAGAAATGGTGGTGTCTATCAGATGTTACCTGTGCCAATACAAATGTATTGCTATATACATCTCAGAAATATTGCAGATTCAGGTTCTAGCATTGCCTTTTCCTGCCCTCTGATGGCTCACCTAACCTATTTTTTATATGAAATTCCCTTTTCAAGTAGCTATTTTCTCAGTTATTTCACTGTGTTTCAACAACTGTGCAAAAGGACCCTCTTGCCAAATGTTTACCTGTGCCCGGATGGCAAGAAAGCATAGATACTATGTCCTAACAGAAACCTAATACAAACAATGATGTATAGAATATTTTTGTTGGGAACAATATTAATCTAAGTGAGGGCAGCATGATTAGCTCCTGTGTAACTTCAGATAACTCATTCCATTTTTGTATCTCTAAGGGGGGAAACCAGATATTGTAGAAAATGTTAGGTGCCTGCACTGTACCTTACGAAGTGTCCAGGTAAAGACAAGTATAAAAGAGACAAAGAGGACCACCAGATAAAATGGTTTGTTTATCAGTGCAAATAAGTATTACCTGGAGAAACCTGATACTGTGTGGGTACTGGAGAATATGAATTTTCTCCTTTCTTTGAAGGGCCGAGCTTATGGTGAAACACACTGGGAATGCACTGTTTTTGTGAGCACTATCCTCACCGATCACCAGGAGAGAAATACATTTCTCAATGTCTGAAATATTCTGTTCACCTCCCTACCGGGAGATACACACTGCATCACACCACTCCTTCTGTTCAGTAACTAGGTGCTAGAACAGGCAGTGGTTGTGGTCAAATAATACTTAGTTTGCTGAAAATAAAAGAGGGAAAATGGCATTGTAAACAGCAAAAAGCAGTACAGAACTTGTCTCTGAGAAAGGGAGAAAGGAAAACAAGCAGTGAAAGAACGGAAAATTGCTAAGATTGACATCTTGTCAACAAAAGAACTCGGGGATTACAAGGATATTCTTGATGAAAGACCTGTTTAAAATATGGTTTGAAGGAACTACAAAACTTTCCTCCTTTTCTGTTCACTTCAGGTTCTCCAAGCACCTGCAGTGGTGTACGGTATCACCTGTCCTTGCAGATGAGGAGTGCAGTAGCACAAAGCTTTTCTTTCAGTGCCAGTGAACTGAGGCACGGTGTGGGAAAACTTCACGGAGCCACTCTCGTCTACAGAAAGACTGCTCACAGGCAGGAGAGCAAGGAACGGGACTGGCAAAGGGAGGTGCTTTGCGGCCTGAGTGCAGTAGCACAAAGCTTTTCTTTCAGTGCCAGTGAAAGAAAGTTCCCAACGGTGTGGGAAAACTTCACGGAGCCACTCTCGTCTACAGAAAGACTGCTCACAGGCAGGAGAGCAAGGAACGGGACTGGCAAAGGTATGTGCTTGGCTGCCTTGTCATTATACTTGAGAGAAAACAAGCATGGGCAGCAGCAGACATAAAGCTGCTTTATGTACAGCTATTCCCAGGGAAGATAGAGCACCTCAACACATCGCTTTTGGCCTTCACACGAGACTGCCCGCTCCATCACGCAAAGCGCATCTCTGCCTGCGTTTGCTCACCAAGACAGCTCAGATTTTTGGAATCACATGGATCCAAATCAGCAGAGCCTAACTGTCAAGGATCTGCCTACACAGAAACACAGACTGCACAACTGTGGTCCATGATGTTTACAGTTCTGAGGTTAGATAAAGAAAGCCAAATAACTACGGCAAATCAAATTGAGAGGCCCTCGCAGGAAAAGATTTTACATTATAAAAGGCACTACAGCCCTCACTGAGCAAGGGGCTAATCACGAGGTGTGATGGAGTATGGCCCTCCTGTATTTAGTACCTTAGTGACAGCTTTTACGGCATTTATCAATACTACATAAAACACTCCAGAAACAGGAGGGTTGAATGTGTAGTTCTGTGCCAGTCTTCTCTGAGATAAAGGGCTCTGAATGCTCCTGCCCTTCACTTTTCAGTCTTCACAAGAAACAAAAGCAGTTATTAAGGGACACCCAGGAGCTCTTCTAATTTTTGGTCCCATGCCACTTCATTATCTCTGAATTTTGTTGGCTGTACTAAAACTGCTGTGAAAAACAGATCCACGTAAGGTGGCAGACAAGGCAACTTCCCTTGAAATTAGTCTTTCGAGGAGCATGTGATACCTTTTTCAAGTAAATGTTCATTCTTTGGTATCTGCCTAAAGGTTATGGCTTACGTTTTCTGAAACAATCCACAACAGAGAAGGTGTAGTCAGTATTGGCAAGACAGCACCGTGAATGCCTACAGCTGCATGCATGCGGAAATCCAGCTTTCTGACTGCAACTAGGAGTAGGTTGTCAGGAAAATAAAGGCACAAATAATTATACTTTCAATGTTGTGTTGGTGCTTTCACTTGAGCAGAAAGCAGGGCTCCTAAAATTGGTGTTGCCAAGCCTGAGCCGGGAGACATCTCTGTTAGCATTACCTGGTCCAGATCATTCCGTAAGGCAATTTTGCTTGTTACAAGCTCATGGGCAAGGTCATCGTTCTCCTGCTCCAGCCGCATGCTTGCTTCTTGGAGCCTGCGGTTTTCCCTCTGCAGAAAGAAAGGAACAACCAGAAAAGGAAGTTAACCCTTATCAATATTAATCAGCAATAAGCGAGTATATTGTGTGTGTAAAACACTGAGAAGGCAAGAGTGCACATTAAGACAGGACTGCTGCTCTGGGAAACAACAGTGAATTAAGCCAGCAGTGCAAATGCAGCGATTCCACTTACATCCCAATGGCTATGTTTGTGTCGCCTAAGTGACACACTGATTGTAGGGTTTCTCTGTCAAAAGTAAACACAGTCCTCTCCACAAAAGCACGTGGTTTCTGCTTGTTCATCATCAAAAGAAATTAGGCAGATAAAATCCCACCCAGCAGCAGCGAACAGGGACCAACTAAGAGATACTCATAATAATATTTCCAATCGAAAGTAGAAAGCTGTCCTGCTCCATTTTACAAAATTTTCTCTGCAGGAATCCAGGAAAATAGTCCATTTTGTAGATGATGCCAACTTCCCGTCTTCTGCGGGACCAGTAAAGAACAGGATTTAGTGGGGATCTCCCTACAGCTCCTATAAGGTGTATCGCCATTTGTGTACTTTCCTTGTAACTTGTGCCAGGGACAACAGTGCACGTTTTACAGGATACCGGCTGAGAAAAAGTGCCAGGTGGAGAGGAGACCTCACTCCCTGAGCGCAGGCCCAGAACCTGCTCGGCGGGCAATGCACGGCAACAGAAAATGCAGAACTTCGAGGCCCTGGTCCTCGCTGCACTGCACTCCCCACAGGCAGAAATGACTACGTAGAGCACTATCTAGGGAAGGTTAGTACACAGGAGAAGAATGAACAGTAGTAATTCATGTTTTTTAAAAATCAGTTTCAGTGACTGTTCTTCTAGGGCTGAGAAACAGAATCATATTCAAAAGATGTCTGTGGGTCAATGGACTTCCAGGAGTCCACATCAAATACACATCTTCATCTTCAGAAGAACACAGCCAGGTGGGACAGATAGAGATGCCCTCCCTCAAACAGATTTTAAGAGAGCAAAAAATGTGCTGCCTTCAGTCACACAATGACCGTGTATCTTTCATACCAAAAGAGACTGCAAAGGGAATCTGTGCGCTATGGAAATTCAAGGAAAAATACCAAGTTCAGATGGGAACTCATAGGTGGGGGAACAATAACCTACAGGCTGAGATTTCAAAAAGGACCTGTGCTCTCTTGAAAGGTACGTTATGTTCTCCAAGAAAAAACAGTAAAAGTGAATATATATCCGCACTTAAGACAGCAAAAAGTTTCCAAGAGTTGTTCAGCCTTCCCCCAAAATGTGATTTCTTTGCATACGCCCATTATTCACCTGTCTTCACTTCCTCCTGCTTACCAGCTACGCTCAGATATTTTTTTCTTTCCAAACTCACCACTATGAAACTGCAATTTTCATTTCTGTTGCAAGAAGATTTTGCATGCTTGTCTTAAACAAAAAAGGACAACTACAGCTCTAAGAGGATGCTAAAAAAGGTCTGTTCTGCATGGGAGCTTCCTCTGTGGCAGGAAGCAGAACCTCTGCAAATACTCTCTCCTTAATGTGACCCTATTGTGCAAGTACACTATGCACTGCCCTGTACAGGAAAGTAAGTTGTTTCCCTTCCAAAAGATCGTACTTTAAATAACTTGTTTTGTTACAGAAACTGTAAGTAAAATACTTTCGTTTTAACACAGTTAAAATAACCACTGCTAAAAGACGCATAACTTTGGGGATCTTTTTTATTTCAACTGCACTGTATTCTTTTTGGGACAAGGAATTTTTAAAAATAAAATTCTTCTGTAAGAATAAGATAAACTTT